AGTAGTAGTTGTTGTTGTAGTAGTAGTAGCAGTAGTAGTAGCAGTAGAAGTAGTAGAAGTAGTAGTAGTACTAGGTGTAGTAGTAGTACTAGTAGGAATAATAGTTGTAGGGTGGTAATAATAATAGAAGTACGAGTAGCAGATGAAGTAGTATGAGTAGTATTCGTAGTACTTGCAGTATCAGGAGTCGTGGTAACAGTAGTAGTAGCAGTCGCAGCGATAGTACTAGGAGCAGTGCTAGTAGAAGTAGTTGTCGTCGTAGAAGTAGTAGTGCTCGTAGTAGTACGAGCAGGAGTAGCAGGTACAGCCCCCGTAGCATTACAAGTAGTAGCAGCAGTAGTTGTACTAGTCGTCGTCGTAGTAGTAGTAGTAGTAGTCGTACTACTAGGAGTCGTAGCAGCATTACTAGTAGTAGCAGTAGTAGTAGTAGTAGTAGTAGTAGTAGTGGTAGTAGTAGAAGTAGTAGTAGTAGTAGTAGTAGTAGTAGTCGTAGTAGCCGCAGTAGTTGTAGTAGTCGATGTAGAAGCATTACTAGTAGTACTATCTCCGAACACGAACTCCAGCGAAGCACGCACTCAGTCGTTTGGTGCATGCGTGCTTCTGTGTAGTTCTCTGTGGGGAGAGCTGAAGTAGTGCGAGTCGTCGTCGAGTCGTCGTCGAGTCCAGCGATCTTTCCCGACCAGCGTCGTTGTCGTTGCCATTCTTGCTTCAGTATTTCAGGGAGGCCCTTCGTCCTGGGGTGAGTCGTTCGGCCTCCTCGTGGGCGTCTTGGGGGCCTCTTGGAAGCTCTCGGGGCCCCTTGGGGGGCTCTTTGTCGTCTCTTGGGCGCCTCTTGGGGGCCTCGAGAGGCGTCTTGGGGCTCCTTGGAAGCTTCTTGGGGGCCTCTTGGGGGCCTCTGGGGGCCTCTTGGGGGCGTCTTGGGGGTCTCGTCCTTCCTTGTGTGGGTCCCTCGGGCCCCTCATTGTGTGTGAGTCGACAGGGCTCCTCGTAGTGTGAGTCGTTCGGGCCCCTGGTCCTGGTGTGCGTCGTTCGGGCCCCTCCTTGTGTGTGAGTCCTTCGGGCTCCTCATGGTGTGAGTCGTTCGGGCCGTTCGTCCTGGTGTGAGTCGTTCGGGCGCCTCCTTGCGTGTGAGTCGTTCGGGCTCCTCGTGGTGTGAGTCGTTCGGACCGCTCGTCCTGGTGTGCGTCGCTCGGGCCCCTCCTTGTGTGTAAGTTGTTCGGGCTCCTCGTGGTGTGAGTCGTTGGGGCCCCTCGTCCTGGGGTGAGTGGTTCGGGCCCCGCATTGTATGTGAGTCGTTCGGGCTCCTCGTGGTGTGCGTCGTTCGGGCCCCTCCTTGTGTGTGAGTCCTTCGGGCTCCTCATGGTGTGAGTCGTTCGGGCCCCTCGTCCTGGTGTGAGTCGTTCGGGCGCCTCCTTGCGTGTGAGTCGTTCGGGCTCCTCGTGGTGTGAGTCGTTCGGACCGCTCGTCCTGGTGTGCGTCGCTCGGGCCCCTCCTTGTGTGTAAGTTGTTCGGGCTCCTCGTGGTGTGAGTCGTTGGGGCCCTTCGTCCTGGGGTGAGTGGTTCGGGCCCCGCATTGTATGTGAGTCGTTCGGGCTCCTTGTGGTGTGAGTCGTTCGGGCCGCTCGTCATGGTGTGCGCCGTTCGGGCCCCTCCTTGTGTGTGAGTCGTTCGAGCTCCTCGTGGTGGGAGTCGTTCGGGCCCCTCGTCCTGGTGTGAGTCGTTGGGGCGCCTCCTTCTCTTGGGCGCCTCTTGGGGGCCTCGTCCTTCCTTGTGTGAGTGCCTCGGGCCCCTCACTGTGTGTGAGTCGTTCGGGCTCCTCGTGGTGTGAGTCGTTGGGGGCCCTCGTCCTGGTGTGCATCGTTCGGGCCCCTGCTTGTGTGTGGGTCGTTCGGGCTCCTCGTGGTGGGAGTGCTTCGGGCCCCTCGTCTTGGTGTGCGTCGTTGGGGCGCCTCCTTGCGTGTGAGTCGTTCGGGCTTCTCGTGGTGTGAGTCGTTCGGGCCGCTCGTCCTGGTGTGCGTCGCTCGGGCCCCTCGTCCTGTGTTGAGTCGTTCGGCTTCCTCGTGGGGCCCTCTTGGGGGCCCCAGGCCTCCTGAGGGCCTCGTTGGGACCTCTGGAGGCCCTCTTGGGAGCCTCCTGGGGCGTCCTGGAGCCTCTTGGGGACATCTTGGGGGCCTCTGGGGTCCTCTTGGGAGCTTCTTGGGGGCATCTTGGAAGCCTCTGTGGAGCCTCCTGGGGGCCTTTGGGGCCAGCTTGGAGCCTCGAGCGATCCTTAGAAGCGCGAGCGAGCGATGCCCCCCTGAGAAGGACAGACTAACCCAAGATTTTCGTACAAACAATGTTTGTGCTATGAAGGAAGAGAAGCGCTGTTCCCTCCGAGCGCCGAAATGGGGCCGACACATAGAGTAGATTATATCGGCCACGTGTTGTTGTGATGCATGTTTCACTCCTTGCCCAATTGGCCCCATAGAGTAGATTGTATTGCAATGGCCACTTGTTGTTATGATGCATGTTTCACTCCTTGCCCCATTGGCCCCGCCCTCGTAGTAGCAGCGTTGTGGCGGCTATCGCTCGAGGACATGCAGGCACGCCAGAGATAATGCGAGAGTTCGCGTCTGTGTGCGTTGCAGATATGTGAGTCGTTCCAGCTCTTCGTGGTATGAGTCGTTGGGGCCCCTCGTCCTTCCTTGTGTGACTCCTTCGGGCCCCTCATTGTGTGTACGTCGTTCGGGCTCCTCGTGGTGTGAGTCCCCTCCTTGTGTGTGAGTCGTTCGGTCCCCTCCTCCTGGTGTAACTCGTTCGGGCTCCTCGTGGTGTGAGTCGTTCGGGGCCCGCGTCGTGGTGTGAGTCGTTCGGGCTCCTCGTGGTGTGAGTCGTTCGAGCGCCTCGTCTTGGTGTGAGTCGTTCGGGCACTTCCTTGTGGTGTGACTCGTTCGGGCTCCTCGTGGTGTGAGTCGTTGGGGTCTCTCGTCCTGGTGTGAGTCGTTCGGGCTCCTCGTTGGGCCTGTTGGGGGCCTCTTGGAGCTCTTGGGGCGTCTTGGGGGCCTCTTGGGGGCCTCTTGGGGGCGTCTTGGGGGCCTCTTGGAGCCTCTTGGGGCCTCTTGGGGAGAGCCTCTTGGTGACCTCTTGGGGCCTCTTGGGGGCCTCTTGGGGGCCTCCTGGAGGCCTCTCGGGAGCCTCCTGGGGGCCTCTTGGGGCTATCCTGGGGCCTCTTGCGACCTCCTCAGAAGCGCAAATAAGCGCTGACCCCTGAGAAGGACAAAATGAGCCCCAAACCTTCGTAAGATCAATGGTTCTGCTAAGAAGGAAAAGGAATGCGGCCCCCTTCAGAAGGCCAAAATGGGGCCAAAACCATGGTCAAATCAATGTTTTTGCTTCAACGACAAGCTCAGGCGCCAAACTCCCTCCCCCCCCTCGGGGCCAGAATCATCGTGAAGGTCGTCGTTTTTTGGCCCTCCCAGGCGTCGAAAAAGACTCCCCTGACCACGCTCGGGGCTCCCTCTCCAGGTCCAGGGGGAGGGGGTAGGGGGAGGGGTAAACCCCTCCCCGAAGGGGAAGAAGGGGGGTTGAGGACAGAGAGAGCTCGCTAAACCACTCACGCCCAAAGGGCTGGTGGGATTCTGACAACCAAGGCTACACTCGTCTCGCGTACCATGCAGTAGGACACCATCCCAGCCAATGCAGAACGGTCAACCAGGAGGCAAACAGCGGACGACAAAAAATGACGGAGAGTTTTTTTGAACACTTCTTTGGCTAAGCCTTTGCATCGCACGTTCCGAGACACAAGGCAGATTCGTCTCTGGGGTTTCATGTGGCCCTTCCGAAACCGAACAAAGACGACGGCAACGTCGACCCAAACCAACCCAAATGCCGAAAGGCCCCCAAAACTGTTCCAGAAAACCGCGGGCCACTTCCAGATGACCGACGACGGCGACGACGGCAACGTCGTCGTCGCCGTCGTCGAACGCGCACCCCTGTTTCCATCACCCCACGTGCTTTGCCGTTTCTTGCAGCCCCATTGGCTTGCACATGTAGCTGCGCCTCGGCCCAATACGCCTGTTTGTCCTCCCCCCCTTTGCCCCTGACAATGCACTACACCAAGACTTTAAAGCGAAGCGCAGCGAGCTTCAAGTCTTGTACATCTATACATATATGTGTTATCTACCATCGGATCTGTTATCGCCCCCTTGTTCTCGCGCTGGCGTTGTTCTCCTGAAGACATCCAGATCCTGGATCTTTGATGGTTGTTGATAGATATCCGGGCACCGTGCCGGTACACTCGCGTGGGGCAGAGTGCGTTTCCCAGGCGCCCAGAGAGTTGCCGACCCTTCGGATCGGATAATGTTTTGTTGGTGGCCTGCATTCCTTCCTCCGGCGGCCACAAACCGGCGCAAGGTATCTGCCCCAAAAGCGGCGTGCCCTTTTCCCGGCCCGCCCCCGCTCTGCCATGTAGGCGTGCCATAGCGACAGAGAGCTGTTAATACATAGCCGACCTTGGCAACAATGGTCTTTCTTGGGTTACCAGGCAGCCACCGCGGCCTGAAGCAAGCAGATCAGCGTATTCGAAGGCAGGGCATCTCTCCCTATGCTCCTGGATGGAGTCCGACCAGACGGGGTCGAAGGATCGCTCCGCATCGCCCATGCATCGGCGATGCGGCTCTCACTGGAGCCCGAGTTCATCCGCACCGATGCGGCCGATGCATGGTCGACGTCGCCGATGCATCGGCCATGCATCAGCGACGCGGCGCGATCATTCGACCCAATCAACTCGGACACCGTTGGGGAGGCCTCTGCGGTGGGTTCGTGTTGTTCCGACGCGGCGGCGACCCCGCCGCGGGCGTTTAAGGTTGCACGCCCCCAGTGGCCCGGATCTGGCCAATATGCAGCGATCCTGCCAACGGAACGCCGCCGATCGTTGAACCAGCGCCTTTGTCGTCACGGCACGAACCTGCCTGCCCCGCCCCGTTGCCGCCGCTTGTCCTGGCAGCCTCCGCGCGGCCACCCCGACTCGAGGGGGGGGACGGGGCAGCGCGCGCCTCTCGGCGCGGCCCCCGCTGCCGGCAGGGCGGGGGGGACGTCGTCGTCATCGCCGTCGTCGTTTCCGCCGTCGTCGTCGTCGTCCTCGTCGTCGTCGTCGTCGTCGTCGTCGTCGTCGTCGTCGTCGCCGTCGTCGTCGTCGTCGTCGTCGTCGTCTTCGTGTTTGTCGTCGTCTTTGTCGTCGTCGTCGTGATCGTCACCGTCGCCGCCGCCGCCGCCTCGTCCTCCCTCCTCCCACACTCACGCGCACGTGTGCGCGCGGGAATCCGAGGAGCAGGGTGGAGGAGAGCGGGGGAGTGGAGGAGGAGGCCCTCCACGGCCATCCCCTCTCCGAGCAGGCTTGCCGATATGTTTTACCCTCAGAGAGAGGTATCAGGTTGGTCGCCCAGCCACAATGGCTGGCACCAGGTGAACTTCAACCTGCAGCGCCCTCGGCTACGCTTGAGGAGGACGAGGAGGAGGAGGAGGAGGAGGAGGAGGCGGAGGAGGAGGAGGAGGAGGAGGAGGAGGACGCCACCGACGCTCGGAAAACGACGTTAGTCCAGGCCCCGGGCGCCGTCCAGGCACCCGCGGCATGCAGCACATCACGTATTACCGTCATCCGTAAGAAGCGTACGGTTGTATCGTGCTGGGCTGGCGTGCGTGCGCGTTTGACCTATTCGCTCCTAGCGCTTCCGGGGAGAAGAGAAGGAGCTTCGATGTTCGGGGGTCTTCCGAACTCCGACGCCCTGACACGCGAAGGTTTCTCGTCGTTTGCTGGCCTCTGGGAGCCCTCGCAAGGCTACGTGCCGGTCAAAACCCAACTCGGGACCAGCAGAACGACCCTGGGGGAAGGGTCGGCCCTTCGGAGAGCCCGTATGGAAAATTTCACGGCAGCGGATGTCTATGCCCAGCATCAGGATGTTTGCGTTTGTTTCCCAAGCCTCTTGTGTTGGGTTCTCGGTTTGGATAGAACACTTATTGTGAGCACTTCCCGCCTTCTCCCGCATCCTCTCTCCTCCTCCTCCTCCTCCTCCTCCTCCTCCTCCTCCTCCTCCTCCTCCTTCTCCTCCCCCTCCTCATCCTTCTCTTCGCCCTCCTCGCGCTGCGATCCCTCATCCCTGTGCACAGCTCCTCCCTGGCGCACCCCCAGACGTGTTGGTGGGGCGGGCCTGGCGCGTCGCCGCAGAACTCCTCACCATTCATGATCTTGAATCATGGGCCTGTTTTCCACCACCACCACCATAAGTAGGAGGGGGGAAGGAGGTAGAGGATGAGGAGGAGGACGAGGAGGAGGAGGAGGAGGAGGACCCCCTCCCCCTCCCACTTTTGGTAGTGGTGGTGGAAAACACGCCCACCATTGAAGCGCGAAAATTGAAGCAGCTTCACGGATGGAAGGCGGGCCAGTTACAACATGTTGTTCTCGTTTTGAGGTAGGGCCGGCCGTTTTCAAGATCAGGTTGTCGCCTCAGCGCCGCGCGCATGCGTCTTGAAAGTCGGCCACCGCTTCGCGGATGGAGGGCGAATGTGGTTCTCGCCTCTGCCCCGCGCGCATTCGTATCAATCGTTTGCAACAGTTTCACTATTGAAGGGCGATTATTGTTCAAAATGTCGTTCTCGCATTAGTGCCGCGCTTGTTCGTGTCGAAAGTCCGAACACGTTTAAATGGTTTACATGGTTGAGGTCCCAGGAATGGTATTCTGGCAAGAATTGGTTTTCTCATGGGGCAATTCCCGCGATGAAAGTAAATTCTTGTATGGCCCATTTGAAGAGGGAACTTTGAGGTGACGTGTACTCGCAACATCGCTGACGTGTTCTCTGTTTACACTGGTCCCCCTCCTCGGTCGGCAGGCCGGTGTTCAAGGCCATCAAATCCTTGCGCCGTATCCCAGGAACCATGGAGGCAACGGAGAATAATAAGAGGGACAGCAGGCGACGTGTAGTTAAACATCAGGTGTCAGACCCAGGAACACCATCGTCTTCACAAGCAGGTCAGAAATCGAGCAAATACGGATCCAGAGGCGCAATAACATCCGCCCTCTCACACAGCTCGAACACTCCCTCCTCACGCATCTGCTTATACGCCCGTGCCGCCCACACATCGCGGAGAGAAGGGGCGACCAATTCGGACAGTTCGATGCGGGAGAGAGCTACAGTAGCAATTGTCGTTCCCACTAGACCCAACATGTCAGGGATCCCTACTGCATGCCCATCCGCCGATATTATCCTAGCCCTGGCTTCGACTTACTCTCTGCTCCTTCCTCTCTGCGCAGGACTTTCAAACAAGACGTCCTCTCCGCCCTCCTCCTGCCGTTCCTTCTCGCCCCCCTCCCTCGCCCTCCTGGGAGGCAGAGGAGGTCCCCAGAGGCCAAAGGACACCAAAGATTTCTGCGAAAGCCTAGATCCTCGAACTGCGACCCATTCGTCCCCCGATATGACATCTTCAATCCGCAGCCCCAGAGCTGCTGACCCGACCCTTCCCGTGGGGAGGAAGTCTTTCGCCCCGTGTGTATGTTTGGTGGTCCCGGCCCCTGAGGGCCGAGATCTATGCAAAAGCGCCGGCCGACAAAAGCAGCATGTCGTTGGCGATTTGAGGAGGAGGAGGAGAAGGGAAGGGAAGAGGAGGAGGAGGAGGAGGAGGAGGAGGAGGAGGAGAAGGGAAGAGGAGGAGGAGGAGAAGGGAAGAGGAGGAGGAGGAGGAGGAGGAGGAGGAGGAGGAGGAGGAGGAGGAGGGAGAAGGAGCAGCATCAGGCCCAGCCGCAGGAGAGGAGGGGGAGGGGGGAGAAGGACGGCGAGGGAGGCCCGGCAGCACGGGCGCGATGCAGCAGCCCGAGGTTCGGCCTCAGGCGCTCAAGCGCGGCGGCGCCAAGGGCCAGGCCGCTGAGCGGTGCCGCCGCCGCCAGCTGCGTCGTCGGCGCCTGGCGGTGTCTCTCGGAGTTTCCCAGACCTCTGACGGCATGAGTCTAGGCCTCCTGGATGGGCTCCGAGCAGCTGGGGCCAGAGGATCGTTCCGCATCGCCGATGCATCGGCGATGCGGCTCGATGCGGAGCCGAGTTTTCTCCGCGCGGACGGCGCCGATTCACCGCCGATGTCGCCGATGCATCGCCGATTCTCCGACCCCATCTACTCGGACCCCATCCAGGCCTCTAATGAGTTTCCCACCTGGCAGGTCCTGGAGCTGTTAAACGTCAGGAAAGGAGCTCAAGACCTGCCTCGCACACCCTGCGTACCGTGGCTGCCATGCCCAGGGTTCAAGCGGTGGCGAAGCGTCGTGGCTCGTCTATAGGCGCTCACAAAAAATGTTCTACCTTCAGTGGTTTGCACGAAATGTTCTTCGAACATTCCGGGCTGAGTCTGTCTTGTGTTAACACATTGGGTCTATGTTCTAGGACCATGGCTCCCGTTATTAAGACATGTTTGGGTTCTAAGAAAACTTCGTGGTAGGCCTAGTCCCTGCTCAAAGAGTGTGCTGGTGTTTCCTGAGGATCGGGCCTCGCGCCATCGACTGATGACGATTGCATGCGCTGCCGCCAGGCCCCAGAGTGTGCGGGTGCTCCCTGGGCATCCCGCCTTGCCTTCTTAGGTGGGGGTGACATTAAGTCGGGCACGTCCCTCTACAGGAGGAGTATTCAAGACTAGTCAAAACATAGTCTAGGGACGACTTGTTCACAGTATTGGTTATTATTTGTTTGGTTGTGCATAGTTTGAATGTTTCGTCCAACACCCGCCTGTATGGGGACATGCCCGGCCTAAGGACAGCAAGGAGGCACGACAATTCAATCCTTGCGTTGTTTCTCAGTTTCTTCTTCCTTGATGGGTCAATAACCGCATGCCGATGATAATAAAGGGACCCCCCCCTCAGTGTTTAGAGTTGATTATCGCCGCCCTATACAAAATTCAAATTGGGTGGCGAGCGCTGAGGCCGAACATCATTATCACCTCGAAACGCTATGTTGAGATAGCAACATCAAGCGATGTTCATATAGCAACATCAAGCGAAGCGATCACACTTTTCAGGATGTGTCAAGCGAAACCAATAATTTTGGGAGGCCGACTCAAACGAAACGAGCAATGTTCTTATTATTATTCTACTTTCCTCTTCTTCTTTTATATTTCTATCTGTCCTCACGCTCGCCTGAACTTTTTTATCCCTGGGGTTGATTATCCATGGAAAATGAGGCACATGAGCTACCCTACACGAGCACTTAAACAATCAATTTTCATAAAGCGTTTGTAAATTAAAAGTGATAGATTTGGAACTTTGGATGTTTCCTTTCTTCGTCCTCTTCTTTTTATCCTCTTCTACTTCTTTCTTATTATTCTTATACTGTATTCTTCTTCTTTTATATTTCTCTCTGTCCCCACGCTCGCCTGAACTTTTTTTATCTCCGGGGTTGATTATCCATGGAAATTGAGGCACATGAGCTACCCTACGCGAGCACTTACAAAAAAACAATTTTCATGAGATATAAGCCATTGTAGAGGATATTTCTATGAAAACTAAACGCCAAGGATGTCTCAAAACGTGCTCGGCTTTTGGTCTCCTCTTGATCATCTCTTACTTCGAGATTATGCTGAGGTCTGCTGGGCTACTTTTATAATCTCTCCCTGAACCCCGAACTTTATTATCCCCTAGTGTTTATTCTCACGGGCATGAGGTTAATCCACCACCGCTACCATGGGTAGGACGGCGGAGACGGGAGGATGGAGAGGTCCTCCTCCATCTCTTCTTCCTCCTCCTCCTCCTCTTACTACTCCTTCTCCACCATTCCTTCTCCTTATAAAATAAGTCCTCCCTGTCGCAGGGCGTGCCAGCCGTTTCGCCTGAGACTTCCTCACCATTAATGATTCTGAGGCTCAAGGAGCGACAGCTGTTTCGGTTTTCAAAATGTGGCTCTCGCTTTAGCGCCGCGCACATTCTTTATCAAATGTTGCAAGAGCTTCGCGGATTGAGGGCGGGTCGTTTTCAAAATGTGGGTCTCGCTTTAGTACCGCGCACATTCGTTTTTGCTACACAGCAGAAACAATATTTGTTGCAAGAGCTTCACGGATTGAGGGCGGTTCCTTTTTCAAAATGTGGGTCTTGCTTCAGCGCCGTGCGCATTCTTTTCAAACGTGTGCAAGAGCTTCACGGATTGAGGGCGGGTCGTTTGCAACATGTGGGTCTCGTTTTAGCGCCGCGCACATTCGTTCTACAACTTTGCAAAAGCTTCACGGATTGAGGGCGGGTCGTTTTCAAAATGTGGTTCTCGCCGTAGCGCCGTGCACATTCATGTTAAACAAATGCAAGAGTTTTACGGATCGAGGGCGGCTCCTTTTCAAAATGTGGGTCTCGCCTCAGCGCCGCGCACATTCGTTTTAAACATTTACAAGTGTTTCATGGATTGAGGGCGGTTGGTTTGCAAAATGCCGTTCTCGCGTTAGCGCCGCGCACATTCGTAAAAAATGCAAGAGCTTCACTGATGGCGGGCGTTCCTTTTGAAAATGTGGCTCTCGTCTTAGCGCCGCGCACATTCTTTGTAAACATTTGCAAGAGTTTCAAGGATTTCCATGTCAGCGTACCAGAAATTGCTTTTTCCTGGAAGGATTCAAGATTATGCGGGTGCAACCGTTATGATGATTCGCAGTCTTGAAGCCCCAAAAAATGGCGCTCTGGTACGATTCTGGATCTTTAACACGCAGCAGTCAGGTTGATACGTGGCGTTGAAATCCCGAGAACAGTGTTTTGGCATGCTTCAGGATCTTCAAACGGTTGTCTTCCAACGAGGCAGTTCCCTCAGTGGAAATGAACCGTTGTGGGGGCCTATGAAGAGGGAGCTTTGAGGGAGGGTTAATTCCATCATCGTTGATGACTATTGGTTTTGCACTGGTCCTCCTCCTCCTCCTCCTCCTCCTCCTCCTCCTCCTCCTCCTCCTCCTCCTCCTCCCCCTCCTCTTGTCAGTCTCTGGGGGCCCTCGCTGGGCCCTGGAGCGTCAAAGAGCGACTCTGGATGAAGTGCCTGCCCTGGGGAACGGGTCGGGACTTCTGGGGGTTCCGCACTGGAGAAATAGCGACGTCGGATGTTTGAGGAGAGCAGTGGTGGCTTGGCCCCCCCGGCAGCCGCACGGGCTCGAGCCCAGGGCCACTCGGCAGCCAAAGGGGCCCAGGCGCCGAGTAGAAAGCTCGAAAGCTGACCCTGCGGGGGCCCCACAGATGCTGAAAGCTTGCGGAAGCCAGGGAGAGCGTCCAGAAGTGCAGAAGAGCACCCCTGAGAACGTAGGAACAGAAGCTGCTCCAGAGTCGTAGCCTTGATTTAGGTCGCTTGAGCGCCTGGGCAAGCCCGGGCAGCCCCCGTGAGGGGCATCCCGCGCGGCGGGGGTGCCCGGTTGAGGTCATCCGCGCCGTGCAGCTGAACCTGGGGCGTCCGCAAACCAGGACTTGCGGGCGTACAGAAGACGTGGCGGCACGAGGACACGCGGCGGCGGCGACGACGACGAGGACGAAGACGAGGACGACGACGACGAGGACCGACAACGACGATGACGACGAATGCGACGACGAGGACGACGACGACGACGACGACAATGACGTCGGCGACGTCGATCTGGACTCGAAGGGGAAGCATCTGTGAACATATAAGCTTTCGGAGGTCCGCGCCTCCCTGGGCCCGCCGGAAGAGCGCGCCGTGGGGGCGGCGCCGGAGGCGCCGCCAGGGGAGTCCGGCGCTGGGCTCCACTGCTGGCTGATAGCCAACAACCTGACGACGCTAGAGCTCTTCGAGAACAGGTTAGCGAGTGGGAGGAGGAGGAGGAGGAGGAGGAGGAACACGAGCAGGATGATGAGGATAAAGAGGATGAGGATGAGGATGATGAGGAGGACGAGGAGGGGGAGGAGGAGGAGGAGGAGGAGGAGGAGGAGGAGGAGGAGGAGGGATGTTCTAGAACAGTTGTTTACCTTTGGTGACGCTGCTTCATGTTCTTCCGGCTCTCTCTGGTTCTTTGTTGTCAGCCCCTTTTTGTTCGGAGGTTGATAGGCCTCCTACCCGGACACGTCGATCAGCGAATGGGCCGTTTTCGGTTCGCGGGAGGGCGTCGCGGTCGTCGTTCTTGCGAGTCCAAATCCGTCGGTTTCGGTCTCAGGCCGTTTTCACTGAAGGTTGGTTTACTAAACGGAGGTTTGTCAACCGCCGATTTGTTCTTTCAGAATCCGCCTGTAGGAGGACATGCCCGACCTGACTCGAGGCCCAAGAACGGCAGCTCCACGGCAGCTGAATGCACCACCGCCATGCGCCGCCACCCGGCAGTTGCTGCCCTGCTGGGCCCTGCCTTTTGCACAGTGTGCACAGCAACCTCCCGGCCCCGGCGACCTGCCTGGGGCCACGGGTGCGAGGGGGCCCAGGGACACACAAAGAAATGCACACTAATCCGAAGATTCCCCATATGTCCATCTATTTTCTGGGTTTTCGTCTTCCCCCCACGATTCCCAGATGCTCCCATATTTTCGGGGGAATCGACAATTCATTGTGTCTGTGTGTATTTTTCCTCTCGCCACTGGGCTCCTGCCGAAGGCGTCCCCTTGCAAGAACTTCGGCTTCGGCACCGCCTGTCTCCGAGGCTATGCCTCCTCTCGGCCTCGCTCTGAGGCTCCGCCGCTTCCCCCCTCCTCTTCTCTGCCTAATTCAAGCTTCGCGCGGCCCGTTTAGCTTCGACCGGAAGAGGTGCGCTCTCGACCCGCGGATCAAAAATGTTGACTTTCCCTCCTGAGGGTGGCCCTTCCCAGGGGGCTGCGATGGCGCATCTCCTGCAGCCTCTCGGGGGGGCGTCCTCGCCGACCCGGCCGGAAGGTGGCGCTCTGGGACACCCGGAAGCGGTCGCTGGACCGGCCTCTGAGCGGATCTGCGTCGCGGGCAGGGCGGGGCCGGGGGCAGCCTTAAGTCGGGCGTGTCCCCCTACAAGGGGATTTTCGACGAAAAAAATACAAAATACCCGAAAATAATCAAAAAATAGTCCAAAATAGTCTGGGGACTTTTTTTTGTACTTTTTGCCTTTTGGGGGTATTTTCACGGTATCTTTTATTTTTCCTCGAAAATCCCCCTGTAGGGGGGCAGGCCCGACTTAGGGGCAGCGGGGGAGTCTTCCCAGAGGGCCACCAGGGGGCCAGCAGCTATCCACGTACACCGCCCCCTCGGGTCCGAGTCCCAGGACGTCGGCTCCCCAGGCGGCGGGCATGGGTGCGTAAGCCCCCCCCCACCTCGCAGCCAAGAGGCCTGCAGGCGGAGGTAGCGGGGGCGGCGCCTGCGAGAGGCCCCGCGCGGCGCTTGCTGGAGAGGGCCGGTGGGGCCAGGCCCTCGAGAGGTGGCGGCGGTGGAGAACGCCTGGCGGGACGGGCCCCGGCATGGGGGTCCCCAGACATGATCGCGTCGTGAGAAGTTCAGGCCGGAGGTTGTTCTCGGGCCTCGGCCTCTGGAGGCCCTCGCCGGGCCCTGCGGGGCCGTCCAAGAGCTGCCGGGGGCGCCGCATTCAGAACATCAGGACGTCGTTGGACGTGGCTGGGACGAGTATCAATCCTTCCCAGGGCGTTTCGGAACGCTCTCAGAGCGTCCCGGTACCCTCTGAGACGGCCGCGGCGCCATGATGCATCTCCCAGAACCGCCGGATCTCAGATATTCTCGATTTGTCCACACCCGATGTTGTCCTTTGTCCTCGTCCTGGCATCGTCTTACGTCGCATGTCTGGGTCTGGCCCACGCCTGGGAGGCGGTCGATGTTCAGGAGGGGCAAAGCACACAGACATAATGAATCGTCGATCCCCAGGGGAACATGGGAAACTATGGGAAGTGGGGGGGAGGCGGAAGCCCAGGAAATATGCAAACATGTGGGGGGTCTTGGGATTTGTGTGTATTCATTTGTGTACTTCGGCACCGCCTGCACCCCTGGGCTTCGCCCACTTCGGCCGCCTGAGGCCCCGCCTTCCTGTGCCTTGCCTCCCTGATTAAAGCTGTGCGTAGCCCGCCTAGGTTTTAGCGGAAGAGGTTCGCTCTCGCCCCGCAGATCAAACATGTGTTCATTTTTGTGCCTTTTGGCCCCTTCGGGTGTATCGGTCGGGCATGGAGCGAGGGGCGGCCCCGCGGGCGAGCTGGCGATAACGCAGTCGTGGGGGACAGGGGCGTGCCGCGGGGACCCCCACGGGCGGGACGGGCCGGGGAAACGTGAGGCGAAGTCGGGCCTGTCCATCTACAGGAGGGAGGTTTAAGAATAGTCGAAAAAATAGTCTGGGGACAATTTGAGAATCTTATCTGCTCATTTTAAGTTGTACGACCAGAATCCGCCTGTGGGGGGACGTGCCCGACCTAAACGTAAGACTCGAGAGCGCTGGAACTCGGGTTTGCCAACGCTTTTTGACGGAGAGAGGAGCGTTGTGAGTACTTGAGCCTGTTTGATGAGGGAAGAACAGGAGAGAAAGGACAGACAACGGACGAGGTGGAAGAGTAGTTTTCGTTTTTTTGCTTTGTCATCGGACGCAAAGGTGAGCGTTTTTTCCCTCCCCCGGCGCAGCGCTCGCCACCCGGGCCAACCGCCCCCCCCCCCCCCCCGCCCTGGGTAACGATAGCGATCGTGCCGGGGGTGGGGGGCTGCCCCACCCCTTGCACATGCTGGGAGCGCCCCCCCCCCCGCAGGTATGGCGCTGCGAACAAATGCGTGGCGTGGTCTTATTATCGGGGGAGCGTAAGACCCGGGTTTGCCAGGACTCGGGTTCGCCATCGTTTTTTGACGACCGCACCTCGGATTTTGACGAGGAGGAGTTTCGTGGGATGTCTGCAGCGGGAGGCCTCGTCAAAATGCAGGCTCGGCCTCGTTATTTTTGTTGACGACCTTCTCGGGGATTTCCGAGTCCCCCGTACCCGGGTCTTACGTCTCCCCGATTATTAACGGCACGCATTGGTGCTCACAAACGTGTTGTAGCTCTCGCAGTCGTCGTCGTCGTCGTCGTCGTCGTCGTCGTCGTCGTCGTCGTCGTCGTCGTCGTCGTCGTCGTCGTCATCGTTGTCGTCGTCGTCGTCGTCCAATGCAGCTGGCGATGGCTCAGCTACCCCAGGCTGGTTCGACCAATCTTCCGCAAGTGCAAACTGCGGGAGCTCTGTCTTTTCCTTTTGGCCAGTGCTCGGCTGCAGTGCGATACAGTCAACGCACCTCATAAGGACGCGCGCCTTCTCCAGGGTAGTTACCCTTGTGTCCTAACCTCTGCGGCCTGTCCTTTGCCGTTTTCATTTGCCTTTTTTTTGGCATGAACATATCCAAACTTCGGTTTCCAAGGGTCTTGCGTCCTGACCACCCGTCCTTATGCACGTACCGATTGTAGACCCAACCCATGGAGAAGATGAAGACTGGGCGGCCCCGCGCCTTCTCCCGCAAGCGCTGTGGTGTGGGCAGCCGCTGTGGTTCACGCAGGCAGCGTGATGCACGCCGGCGTTGCGTCGCACACGGCTGTTGCGGTGTACAGAGGCGCCCCGCTTTCCACAACGACTCTTGTTTTAGAATCCATATAACACATTGTGTTCTGTGGAATCCACATGCGCGCCATTTTCCATAGCGCTTCCTTTCATAATCCTCTTATAACAATGGTTGTCTGCAGAATCCTATTCAGAACAACGGCTGCTGCAGCATACGCGGGAAACGCGGTGTGCATAGGCGACGCGGTGCTGCAATGCACACGGAGGCACTGGTGTCTGCACAAGTGGCGCTGTGTTGCACGCTGGCATTGTGCATTGTTGTGCGCACGTGGAACGTGCGATTGATGCGCCGGTGGCAGGGATGCACCCTGGCGGGCGCACGCCGCGGCCGCCGTTACCGTTACCCTCCCGCCCGACCCCCCCCCTTCGGGTAACAGCCGTTGCCCGGGAAAGGAAACAATCTGTCACTAGAGTATTGCAGTAGATAGGGATCCACCTCCAATCGGATCAATTAGTGGTGAATTGCTCCAAATTACAGGGATGTAATACGGATTGTTGCATCCATAACATGATTTCCTGAGAGGTGGATCTACTTTTATTAGGATTACAGTCGCGATGTGTCCATCTTTTTCAGGATCATATACAGGTGGCTCCATTCCTCGTGTGATCATGTCACTGGTGGTTGTAAGCCTGATAGGACTTTGTCCAGAATTTTCGTTGCACGTGGCTCCGTCCTGATCGAATGTTATCGCGATTGATACATTGATTTCCAGTGTGAGGACTGCACATACAGTAATGTTGCGCGGCTTTTCAATTGGAGTCCTTTGGTGGGCGATTTACAGGTTGATCCCGTTTGTGTGGGCTACATTCGAATACCGCTGCGCGAGGTCACGATGGGTTTCCTACTGCGGGGGGATGTGCATCCTGAGCTCTACTGTTCGGGGGGGGGGGCGCCTCCATCCTGAAGGGTTCTGACGCACTCGGCCCCGCCATTTATTCAGACTCTGCTACTGGTGGGTCGTTCTATTCGAAGGCATGGGAAGTTGATCCGTCCCCGATGGATTTCCTGGTGAGTGGCTTCCAGTCCCAACCGGATTCACATTGAATTGTATCGAACAGCAACCGGCTTATCTGACATATGGTTCCATCCTAAATCGGATCCACCTAGATGTGGATCCACCTCCACTGAATTACTGTTAGATGTTGCTCCACCTTCGAAGGAATTATACGGCACTTGGCTCCATGCCTGACACGATCCCAACGAAGGTGGATCCACCTCTGGTAGAATATCATGAAAGGTGGGCCCTTCAATTCTAATATTTGACGACGGATCGCGCCATCCGTAATCTGATTATGTTAGATGTGGGTGCGCTTCTACTCGGATTACATTAGCGATGGGTTCGTCCACGATTGGATTATGTTAAACATGGCCCCGTCGCTCATACGATTTCATTACAGCTGGCTCGAAGTCGGATGGAGTTGTGTTTAGGATTGTACTACACGTGTTTCCGGCCCTGATCGAATGTTCTCCATGTGGCATGTTTGAATATGGTGTTTTGATTACACAAAGAAACCGTTTGTGCGGTGTTTCCATCGAATTATTTTCGTGGGTGGTTTGTGCAGACTGATCCTTGGTGCGTGGATTACAGGTCGAATCGTTTTGCGCAGCTGTAAACGCAGTTTTATTTTGTGGGGGATTTACATATTGATTTCTACTGTGTGGAGGTGTCTCCGCCCCTAAGAGGATTACATTGCAGGCAGGGGCCCGCTTTAAAGCATATTCTTGTATAGGTGGGCCGCGGACACTTCGAATCCAATAGCATGAGAGGTAGATCTGCCCCGATTGAAACTTCTTTTAGCGGCCGCTCCAGTCCCAATTTGAGTCCAAGCCAGGTGGGTCCATCTCTAATAGAATACTTTGGCCCCCAGTGGTCCCACCCCTAATCGGATCCTGTTGGGGGTGCGCCCCCCCTCTGTAATGGAGTCCTGGCAAACGTGGATTTACCTTTTAGTATAATGCCCACCCACGTGGCCCCATCCCTAAGGGGATTACTTTAGAAGTGGGCCCACCTCAATTGGGATACGAGGAAAGGTGGAGCCGCTCTGTGTTGGAGTGGTATCACGGTTTCTTGTTTTATTCATGGGGTCTGTGCGAGGTGGATCCAACTCCAACAGAAACCGGGCAAGGATGGAACATTTGGAACATCATTGCGTTATAGATGGACACGCCCCTATTTGAATGCATTTGAGGATGGGTGCGTCTCGTCTGTAATCAGATTATAGATGGGCCCACTTCTCATAGTACCCTGTAATCAAATGTTTGAAACAATCGGGCCAAGTGTGGGGCCATTCGTATTACAATAATATGAGAGATGGAGCCACTTCGAAACTAATCCTAGTACAGATGGACCCATCGCTAACGAAATCCCATTCGAGGTGGATCCACCTCCTA